GAAGGATACTGGCTCGTAGAGCCGACGAGCCTCGTATTGCTGTATCCCAGAACTCGCTCAGGTTGGCACTCCACTCGCTCGTGATGCTGCCCCTGAGCTTGCTCCACGTCTTCATGACGAACGGGAGCTGGCCGAGGATCCTGTCGCCCCCCCCTTTTCTTTGGGCGCGACGGAGCCGATGGTCGCAAGCATCTGCCTTGGCCACGCTCCCACCTCCTCGATGTCATTGAGGAGGTCGATCATTCCTTGCCTCCCTTCAGTCGGGAGCCTTTGCACCTCCAGCGGCCCGATGTTGTCGATCCCCTTGGCCTTGGTGGCCGAGATGGCGGGGGGCAGGCGGTCCAGCTGCTGCAGCTGGAGCGGGGCCAGGGGTTGCTGCCAGGCGCGGCCCATGACCATGTGGATGCCGTCGAGGAGCTGGTCGGGGGTCACGCTGGGGTCAGCCCAGTGCTTCTCCCACTCGTCGGCGCGGTTGCTCATGATCTGGTCGGGGTCCGCCACGGAGCTCCCCTGCTGGATCTTCTCAACGGTCTCGGGTCTCGGGTCCTTGACCATGTTGTGGAGGTGCCGCGGTGCTTCCTTCCACATCTTGATGGCCCAGCTCTGGTAGGCCTTCCTCGACTTGGTGAGCGCCTGCCCGATGGCCCTCCCTTGGTACCTCTCGCTGATCTCGATGATGGGGATCACGTCCTCGTCGGGGAGGGTCTGCAGCGTCCTCATCATGGCCTTCCAGTTGCCGAACTCATCGCCGTCGTCCTTGTTGAACACCTCGTGGAGCTGCGTCTCCTCAGCCTTCTGCATGAGCTCGACGATCTTGCCGTTGCAGCTGGCGGCCTCGGAGATCCTGTCGGCGCGCCTGAGCATCTCGTAGCGCTTGAGGAGCGTCGCCGCGATGTGCCACCACTCGAGGTGTGGGTCTCGGAGGTGCGCTCGCGCCGGCGTGGCCGAGGTCCTGACCCACTTGATGGCATATCCTCTGCCTCTGCCCACGTAGGCGTCCTGCTTGTCTGTGTCAATCTCATGGTGCTGGAGGGTCGCAAGCTCCAGGGTCGTGATCCACCTCGCGAAGTGGCTGTCGATCTTCTGCTGGCCCTGCGGGTCCCTCGTCAGCAAGAAGTGGTCCTTGCTCTCTTGGCTTCTCGATGTTGCTGTCAGTGGGGAGGCTGGTCTCTCCCAGGCTGTCACTCCTGGGGCCAGTCCTCTGGCGTCCACTGCTGCACTCGCATCTTCCCACACTTGCCCTGGGATGTTGAAGGTCGTGGTGGGCGCAGCCTCCCTCTCGTCATCGTCTCCGCCCAGCTCGTCGTACATCTCGTCGAAGGCGGCCTGCAGGTGCTCGTGGAGCCCGGCGCGCCTCTCCTCCTTGGCCTTCTGGATGCCCTTCTGCCGCTTGCTGTTCGGGTCGGCCTGCTTCTTGGGCCGCGGGACCGTGGGGGGCTCGTGCGCGATGTCCAGCTTCCTGTGCCACCACCTCTGCTTGCCGTCCTTTATCGTGAGCTTCAGGCCGACGTGGTCCTTCCACGGGACCTCCTCGACAGCCTGCAGCTTCAGGTGGGCTGCCGTGCCCTTGGAGACCAGGGCGTAGTCGATGGCGCTGCCCGAGCCCCTGTTGCACGTGGCGGTGCAATTCTCCGCCAGCAGCCTCTCCGCATTGAGCTTCGTAAGCCATTGTGTCTTGTCCCACTCGTCTGGCGTGATGTTCCAGTCGCCCAGGACCACCCAGGGGTCGCGCAGCTGGCGGAGGAAGGCGCCGAGCCTTACCAGGGTCCGCTGGTTGGCCTCCTTGAACCCGAGCTGCGGGAGGAGGTAGGCGCTGACGATCACGATGTTTCCCGACTTGAGGTGCCAGCAAGTCGGGCAGAACCCCTCAAACGGGCCCTGGCCAGATTTGTTCCTGCCTGCCTCTCTCCAGGCCTCGAAAGAAGTTGTCTGTATCTGCTTCTTGGCCACCATCCACTCGCCTCCTGAGGTGCCCGTCGCAGAGCGTCCCGTCAATCTCGCTGGTGTGCCGAGTAGCTTCCATCCATCTCGTGACAAGTCGCTGCGCGCCTTGCCTGTCGCGTTCTCGTTAGCATGTGTCTCCACCAGGCCGACGAGGTCGTAGCTCTCGGCCTGGGCCCGCATGAAGCCTCTCGCTTGCGGGCCCCACTTCGTGATGTTGCTGAAGAATACCGTCGCGTCTGTGCAGTGCTGCCGCTTGGCCCACTGCGTGCTGGCTGCCTCCTGTCTCAGAGCGTCCACAGCCTGGGCTCCTGCGCCTCCGTCGGCAGCGTCCCTGTTAGGGAGACGACCGCCCTCCCCGCTGGGGCCCCTTGGAGGCCGCGCGGCCCCCGCCGCCAGGCTTGGCAGCGCTGCCAGCGCCGCCAGCAGCAGGAGCAGGGGCGGCCGCTGCCTGGGGCGGGCCGCCGCTGGCGCCGCCAGTGGCCGCTGCCGCCGCCGCGGGGCCTGGGCCGCCAGAGGAGGCCGCTGCTCCGCTGCCGCTGGGCCGCGGGGGCCAGGCGGGCAGGCGGCTGCGGGCGTCGGCGACGGACTGCTCGAGGGTGGCCGCGAGCAGCTCGGGGTCGGCCTTGTCCAGGCCAGGGACCGCGATGCTCTCGACAGCCTGCTCCTCGTCGCCCGCCATGGCGACGTCAGGCTTCTCCTCCGCAGCAGGTGCGGCCGGCTGCGCTGCGGCCGCTGGCTGCTCCTGGGCAGCCTGCTGCGCTGGGGCCTCAGCCGCGCTGGCGACCTCGACCCGCGCCCGCTTGGGCGGGCTCGCCTTGATCTCCTCGATCTTGGCCCACATCTCCCTGACCTTGGCGTCCTCGGCGACCATGGCCTGGTAGGCGGTGTCGAGGGCTGCGCGGTGGCCCTCCAGCTCCCTCCTCTTCTCCTCGTCGAGCTGGTCGAGGCCCTCGTTGAGGAGGGACATGTCGAACGCAAAGATGACCTTCTTGCCGTCGCTGGTGGTGGTGTCGTCCACGGGGCGCTTGGACACCGTCGAGGCCAGCGACTGCACCGCATCCTCATGGTCCTTCTTCGCCTTGAGCAGCTCGGTGCCCGCCAAGACGTGCGCCTCCTTCGCCTTCTTGGTAGCGTCCTCGGCCTTGACGAGCGCGTCCGCGGCCTTCTGGAGCGCCGCCTCCTTCTGCTCCAGGATGGCGGCCGTGGACTGGACCTGCTGCGACGGGGTCCTGGCCTTGGCCTCCGTCTCCGTCTTGGCTGCCAAGTTCTTCTTGGCCTGCTCCATCGCATCGTCGGGGAGGATGGCAGAGCAGAGCTCAAGCGCCTTCTTGAGCTCATCCGCCTCGTTCTGCTGCTTGTTGCTGGCGGCGGGCTGAGTGGTGCCGCCGTTGCCGCCGTTGCCGCCCCAGCGGCGGCCCTGCCTTCCCTCGCGCCACGGCGATCCCGCAGCGACGTCGTTGCCAGCACCTTGTCCTCCCTGCGGCTTGTACAGCTGTAGCTTGGCTCCGCACTTGATGCACTTCCCATTGTTGCGCTCGATCCTGAAGTTGAACGCCCACTGCCCGCACCCGCACACCGTGAATGGCTGCTTGCACCCATTCGTGAAACCCATGGTGTAATGTGGCAGAGAGCAAGGGCTTGTACCGACAAGCAGTGGCTGTCGGGATCGTGGCCCTGAAAGGATCGGGGTATGGCTCGGACTAGAGCTATCCGTTTTGGCACGGAGGCGCGGAGCCCCCCCTTGCTTGGCATCTTGAGCCAAAATGGCTACGGAAGAGAGAGGAGGAGGGAGGAGGAGGGCGGAATGGAGGAGGGAGGGGCGAGGGCGGGAGGATGGGGAGGAGGAGGCGGGAGGGCCGAGGGAGGAAGGCCCGTGACTCTCGAGGGCCCCTGCCCGGGCCACCGCCCCCCTCGGGCCCAGCGAGCCACGCCCCTCCTCGCGGCTCCCTCTGGCCGGGCCCGGCCCCCATGGGGCCGCCGCCCGGCGAGGGAGGCAGCCGGCGGCGAGCGCGGGGGGGGAGGAGGAGGGGGAGGAGAGGAGGAGGAGGAGGAGGAGGAGGAGAGGAGGAGGAGGAGGGAGGAGGAGGAGGAGGGGGAGGAGGAGGGGGAGGAGGGGGAGGAGGAGGAGGGCCGCCAGCGCGCCTCCGGAAGAGCTGCTCGCGCCTCCCCCGCGGAGGCCCGGGGGAACTTACATCTCAGGGGAGACCCGGGGGGCCTCCGAGCCCTCTGAGAAGGCCTTCTCCTTCTCACGTCCCCCCCTCGCTCGCCGCCGAGGAAGGGCAACGCCGGATCCACGGCGCGCAAGTGCCCCGGGCGGGCCGACGCGTGTGCGGCGCGAGGCGGGCTCGCGTGAGCGGACCGCCCCCCCCCCCGCCCCGACCACCAGCCAGACGTCTGCCTCTCGTCCCCGATCCTTGAACGCGCGGCTCTGGGAAACGACGACTCTGACACAGACAGGAGGCCGATCACCAGGAGGGAGGAGAAGGAGGTGGGAGTCGAGTCGATCTCGTGGAATTCGGAGTGCAGCCTCGCAGAGGTCCCTACCGACCGCCTGCCTCTCTGGCGCTGCAGCTCTGAGTGGTGTAGCCGTGTGCTCGCCCAACCATGTTGGGGCATGCCGAGATGCTCCACTCTCGGACGAGTCGCACCGTCCCAAACTGGCACACCGATCCGAAGGGCACGCAGCGCGATGTGAGGGGGGGAGGCAGACCAGGAGGACGGGAGGGAGGACGAGCGGGAGAGATGATGACTGAGAGGAGGGAGGCCTCCAACCATCGAGGGAAGGCACACGCGTTGGATTTTGGCTGGCCCTCCACTGGTAGATCGACCGAGCCGTGGCCGTCCTGGCGCGGAGCGTGCAAAGGAACGCGTGCCGCGGCCTCTCCCCAGAACCTCCTCCTCCTCCTCCTCCTCCTCCTCCTCCTCCTCCTCCTCCTCCTCCTCCTCCCCCACATCCAGCCATTTTGCGCTCGGGCGCGCCCCCTTCGCCTGCAGGAGGCCCCGAGTGTACGACACTCAGACTTCAGAGTGGCCACGAGTGTCGGAGCCAACAACGGATGGTTGCCAGCAGCAATGGCAGCAACAACACGACGTGGCGGTGCGAACCGTGCAATGTCAAGAACGGAGCAAAGTACAAGTACTGCTGGAAGTGCTGGGGTGCACGCCCGACCGCAGCAGCCGCAGGATCTTCCAGCGCGGCGGCAGGAGAGACCCTCGGGGACAGGAGCCACGACGAGAAGCTCACAAAGGTGCAGCACTACCGTGCCAAGCTGGTTGAGCTCAGGAAACTCGCCGAGGACCCGTTCCTGGAGGAGTCCCTGCAGCCGCAGGTGGCGCAGCTCGAGGACAAGCTCGCCGCCGAGCAGGCATCGTTAGAAACGGGAGTACCGCGCTGTTTTACCGAATGCAGAGTGGTGCGAGACAGGAACAGGGTCGCAGAGCAGAAAGACAAGTGCCAGCAGAGGATCGACGCGCTCAAGGAGCAGAGAGACGCGCTCGACGAGCAGCTCGCCGACGAGCAGAGCAAGCTGGACAAGTTCGGCAGCAAGCTCGAGACCCTGGACAAGAAGAGAGCTGTCCGTCCCCGCCCCAGGAAAGGGATGGGCGGCAGCGCTCGCCTTCATGGACCAGGCCGAGCGCTGCGTCGACGACGACGAGAGCGAGAAGCGAGAGCAGCTCGTCGCCGCGGTCACCCACGCCAAGGAGCAGAAGGCACTGGAAGAGTAGAAGGCCAAACAGTACGCGGAGCGCCTCCAGCAGAAGGCCAGGGCGGAGCAGGCTCGCGCCGCCAAGGAGAGGGCAGGCAGCGCTGACAACCGCAAGCGCAGCTGCCCCGAGAGCCCCATCATCAAGGAGGACCTCCTCGAGATCCCCGCAGGCGCCAGCGAGCAGGACATCTGCAAGGCGCTCGTCGACGTGGGGGTCACGCCAGATCAGGCTGGCAAGGTTGTGGCTCCTCTTAAGCTGCTGGTGGGCGAGCTGCAGACTGGCCACACCCTCGCCATCAGCAAAACCCAGTGGGTGCAGCAGCGGGGGTAGCGGCGGCACCAACCGCCGCTGCCCAAAGGCGCGACTCGCAGTGTACACGGTCAATGCCAACGCGGTGAAGTCGCTAGAGCGAGTGATGAAGCAGATCAGGGACAGCGACCAGGACGCCATCGTCCTGGGCCAGGAGCTGCAGGCCAGCGGCACGCAGCTCGACCTGCTCCAGACCCGCATGCGCAAGGAGGGCTGGAACATCGGGGTAGTGGGCAGCGCGAAGACCAAGGCGGGTCACAGTGCTGGAGTTTTGATAGCGACGCCACGAAGCAAGGGTATGGACTTCGTGCGCAATGGGATTAACCAGTGGGACATCAGCCCGCGAGAGTCCACGGGGCGACTCGCCGTGGCCTGGGTCGACGCCTACAGCAAGGAGGGGCTCGTGCTAGGTACCGCGCACCTATGGAACAGCGAGGGCCCCACGCAGGGGAACCAGCGCATCCTGGCCAAGTGGGGCGCCACCATGAACGCGATCCAGAAGGAGTGGACCCTTGGCGGCGACTTCAACATGGACCCAGAGACGCTGGAGCAGTCAGAGATCGTCCGCAAGATGAATGGCTTCATCGTGCGAGACACTCAGCTGGGCAGCTGCCTGAAGCAAGATGGCATGAGGAGTACGCGGGGCTACATCAACGTCTCGCGCGGCCTGGGTGCACACGCGCTCAAGGCAGAAGTCCAAGAAATGTACAACACGTCGCCGCACTTGCCCATCAAGATGAGGGTCCCAGTGCATCAGCGAAACGACTACAGCATCAACGTGCTGTGCAAGCGGGCGCTATGGCCGCTGACACGGCCAACGGGCTGCCCCTCGCAGCCAGTGCGATGGCCTAGGCCGCTCGCACACAAGAAATACACGCAGAGCCAGGTCGACGAGCACTGGAGTGAGCTCGGCGAGGCCTACGAGAAGCACCTCAACAGGTACCACAGCTTCGATGGCGACGACCTGGGCAAGAGACAGGGCCATTTCGAGAAGGCCAATTACAAGCAGAAGCCGCGCAGGCCCATGCCATGCACCGCGGCGCAGGAGCAGCAGCAGTGGGCCGAGGCCGCCGAGTGGCTTGCGCGGCGGCTGCGCCAGCTGAGGTCACTGGCCAACGCATGGCAGCAGCGGCGAGATGCAGGCACGCTTCGGCGAGCCCAGCACATTGCTGATGGGCTACTCAGCCACGACATCATCACGCCGCTGCTTGCAGAGCGGGCACCTGGGCAGACGACCGAGGCAGGCAACGACACGGACGAGGAGGACGGGCTGCTGGAGCCAGAGGGCGCCCCTCGGGAGGAGGCGGAAGGGGTGCAGGACCGCCTCGCGGTCAGAGCGCCTCCCACCGAGGGCCAGCAGGACCCCAACACGTGGAATACGATTCGATGGCCGCTCATCGCACACACGCTGCGAGACGGGCGAGTCACCGACATCGACGACCGCGCCCAGAACTACCTGGGCTTCGTAGCCACGCTGCTGGACACCGCCAGCAGGAAGCGCTGGAAGATGGTGCACCGAGCGGCCGCGGCGCGGTGGCGGCAGTGGGTCACCACGCACGGAGAGCGAGGAGCAGGAGCGCTGCACGGGTGGACCAAGGCACCAGCGCCTTGGCAGCCGCAGGCAGCGCCGGCGGGGGCCGACAGCGACCAGATGCACGAGCTCGCGCACCCCCAGAAGGCCGCCGACGCCGCGCTGAAGGGGTGGGAGAGCATCTGGCACGACCCGCTCGTGCCGAGGGCGCCGTGGCTCCAGCCGCCCACGGAGATCGAGTGGGCAGAGTCCAAGCCGCCGCCCATCACCCCGCAGCAGGTGATCGAGGCTTGCGGCCGCTTCAGGACCAAGACGGGGCTGGGGGAATCGGGATGGCACCCGAGACTCCGGCGCGAAGGGGGCATCCATGGAGCGGCGAGGGTGGCCAGCACCCTCAACGCCCTGGAGGCGGGCTCGCCCTGGCCGCAGGCGCAGGACACCATCCTGTTCTACCTGCTGGCAAAGGCTTCGGGCGGGCACCGCAACCTCGGGCTGATTCCTGAGCTGGCCAGGCTGTGGGAGACTATCCGCATGCCGTATGCCAGGAGATGGGAGCACTGCCACCGCAGGAGCTACCACTGGGCTGCGAGAGGGAGGTCCAGTGAGAGGGCCGCCTGGGAGCAGGCCTTGTTCTGCGAGGCCACGGTGGCCCAAGGGATGGAGTACGCTGTCACGTACTTCGACCTGGTCAAGTGCTTCGAGTACGTCACGCACGAGAAGGTGTGGCAAGCAGGCACGAGATCAGGATTCAACACGGTGGTCCTGAAGATGGTGCTACGCATCTACTCGATGACGCGGCGCATCGTGCTGGGCAACGCATGCACGGGGGGGTCGAGATGGGCGCGCGGCATCGTCGCAGGCAGCCGCCTAGCGCCCCTCTGCCTCAAGATGGTCATCTTCGGGGAGCTGGACGGGGTTATCGACAACTTCCCGTTGGCCTCGGTCTGCCTCTTTTTTCGACGACCTGGCGGTCGCCACGCGGGGCGCGAGACTGTTCGTGCAGCACTGGCACACCCAGCTGGTGCAGGAGCTCGTGGACATGTTCGGGAGGCTGGACATGAAGGTATCCAAAGGCGCGGAGGGTAAGACGGTCACCATGGCCTCGACAACCGAGCTGCAGGACGGCCTCGCCAGGAGAGTGAACCAGCTCGGCATCAAGATGGCGCGACACGCCGACCACCTCGGCGTCACCACCGCGGCGGGCAGGAGGAGACGAGCCAGCGCCTTCAGCAAGAGGGCCGGCAAGTACGCAGCGAGGCGAGACCGCATCGCCCGCATACGCCGAGCGGGACCTGCGCAGGCAATCATCAGACAGGGGAAGGTGCCGTCGGCGATGTACGGGGTGCAGGTCATGGGCATGCCCAACTCCACCCTCACCACCCTGCGGCAGAGCGTGGCGACCTCCTTCAGGGGCAACACCATGGGGAGGTCGACGCCGCTCACGCTGCTCGCGCAGGGCGCCGACCCCGCCACCCGCGCCAACACGGAGCCGCTGCTGAACTGGGCCATGGCATGGCACGAGGTAGCCAACCAGGACGGGCTCCAGGAGCAGCTCCAGAGTGCGTGGAAGAAGTGGGTGGTACGTGTGGGGACATCCAGAGCCCCATGGCAGCAGGTGCGGGGGCCCGCGCGGGCCTTCATAGCCACGGTGCAGAGGCTGGGCTGGAGGACGCTCGCGGCCCACAGCATCACCATCGGCGACGAGCACCTAGACCTCAGGACCCTGCCTCTCAGGCACCTGAGGCAACTCATCAGCACGGCCACCGAGGATGGCCTCAAGAGCGGCTGGCTGCGCATCCACGGCGAGAAGCAGGGCCTGGACAGCCTCTTCGTGGAGCCCGTCGCCGCGCTGCTCAGGAGGCCGCTGAGCAAGAAGTGGACGCTGGAGCACCAGACACGGGTGCGCAGCTTGTGGTGTGGCGGTAGCTGGCCACAGCGGAGGCTCTTCGACAAGGGCGCAGCAGAGGACAGCACGTGCAAGGCCTGCCACGAGCATGAAGGAACGGACCGCCACAGGACGTTCGTGTGCTCGGCCAGGCAGAGTCACCGACAAAGAGTGGGAGGGCACCACATATGCCATCGTGGTGCCATGACATGGCCTGGAGCGACGGAGAAGCAGCTGGCGACCTCCGAAGTGCTCTGGGGAAGAGGGCTCGCGCGGACCCAGCGCTGGAGTACGGCCTCTGGAAACTGCCCTCCTCGTCCACATGCGAGATGGAGGGCTCCTTCGACGGCCTAGTGAACGGGGGCATCTACACGGATGGCAGCCTGCTGTACGGGGCATACCCAGCGCTGAAACGAGGCGGCTGGGCAGTCGTGAAGCCCGACAGCGAGAACACGATGGAGTTTGCATTGTTCGGGCCACTGGAAGGATCGCAGCACGACCAGTCGATCTACAAGAGCGAGCTGATGGCGGTCCTCCAGGCCCTGAGGAGAGCGGTGCCTCCAGTGCGGGTCTTCAGCGACTGCCAGTCGATGATCGACGGCTTCGCCAGAGGCCCTGAGTGGGCCGCCAGAGCCGGCACGACCCACCAAGAGGTCTGGCAGGAATGCTGGCGGCTTGTGCAGGAAAACGGTGGGATAGGTGAGCAGGGGGTAAGCTTCTGTAAAGTCCGTGCCCACGCCACGAGGGCCCAAAGAGCCTCGATAGGGCCCCAGCATTTCATAGGGAACAGGTTCGCAGACGCCTACGCAAAGCGTGGGGCGCAGATGCACCAGCACGAGGCCTGGCACAGGGCCGCGTACATTCAAAGGTTCCAGTTGGTCTCAGACATCCTGGAATTCGCCGCGCACGTCGGGGTTCTCGGCCACGGGCTCGAGGACACCTCCGAGGGCCCTGGGCCTTCGGGGGCTCAGGGCAGCCCCGCCCCCGCCCCGACGCCCAGTGAGGGAGTGGAGAGCCCTGCGGGCACTCCACCGCCCCCACAGGGCCCCGTGGACCTCCCGCCCTGGCCCCCCGTGGGGCTCGGAGAGTTGATCCAGAGGGCCCAAGCCGAAGGCCACCAGACGGGGCGCCTGCAAGCAGTAGTATTCTGTCGGAAGTGCGCAAGGTACGCCACAAGCCGATGGATGGGGTCTGATGACCAGCTGTCCTGGGGGGAATCCTCGGGTCTTAGCTGGGCGTCTGAATCGTCTGTGGCAGGGCAAGCACCCCACCACCAATCAGAGTTTCGGAGGCCTCAGATTGCCCAGGACAGGCCTGGGATGAAGGGCACCTCCGTTTTCGAGCGTAGTCGCCTCGCCTTCGGCCGATTCGACTATTCGTTGCGAGCGAATCCTCAGCGAATCCTCCCCCACATCCTCCTCCTCCTCCTCCGCCTCCTCCTGATATTCCCCGCCATCCTCCCCCAAGTGTTCCCCGAAAGGTTTCCACAACGGTTGGGCAGATCCCTGCGGATCGGCGGAGACGTCTCAACGCACGCCCCGAAGGGGGGGGGAACCGCGAAACAGCGTGATGGGAAATACGGTGGAGGTTTCAGATAAGAATGCCTTCGATAAGGAACCCAGGGTCTCGCGACCAAGGGGCGGCCAAACGTGGGCTACCCACCTCGCCTTGGAACAATAAGAAATGCGCCAGGGTCTGGGCTCCAGGAAGACGGTCCTTATCCAATCCCGCCGCCGTAAGCGAAATCAGCGAGAACCTCAGGAAACCGTCTGAAGCAGCAGCACCAGAAACCATCAGCCTGTGAGGACATCCCTAGCGAAATTGCATGGTTGGCCCTCCCCCCGGAACCAACTGACATTACTGTTGAGCGTCGGGGGACCCCCCCCTGGCCGGATAGTTATCGCTGCGATGGCTGAACGCACTAACACCAAAAGACAAACACGCAACAACGATCGAAAGCACCACTCCCCCCTGTCTGGAGGGTTCCGCCATATCTGCAATGGGGGACTCAAATATACACATAGGAGTGTGCGGAACAGTTGTGCACTAATGCTAAGCTAACCAGCAATTACAAACACACACACACGCACACACTCAAGCAAGCAAGGAACGAACAAACACGATCACACAAGAAAGATAGCATGCAGTCGGACATAAAACGTGTCAAGCACGCAATTCGCAAAATAAATGTTCATGCGAAATTATGCGCGCAGGCACGCAAACAAGGACATGATTCGGACACGGATCCAGACCGAGCAAGCAAGGAAACGATCAGCATTCGGAGTAGGGTTCGGAGTCGGACTGACGCATGAAAATACTTACCAGCCCGAGGATGGCCACATTGCAAGCAAACCTTATTACAAACCAAACCATGAGGCAGAACACTCTGAGCAACAAATCGGTGTCTGAGACCTCGGATGCTCTCTGGGCTGCTTTGAGGCCCATGAGATCACGTGGGGACTCCCGTGCAGAAGCTGGAGAGACTGGAAGTTGGACTGTCCTTACATACATAACATGAACGGGGCAACTGCGCATCATGAACCGAATCATCTTCGAGCTCCCGTCATGCCCCGCTCCAACGTGGTCCGTTGCATCGTTTGCGGCTCTGAGGGACCGACAAACACTGCACCCTATCACTCCTGGGTCGAGGATCGACGACTCCTCGGGAGAAGAGAACATGTTGCAGTGCACACACATTGATCGCGAGCAATATTTTCCTTGACGCTACAGGCCCTGCAGTTCGTCGCAATTTGCCAGATCGGTGGGAACGGATTGCTGCACGTACCAATCGGTTGCTTGGCAACCTGTGTCTCCGATGCAGCGGCGGAAAACATGGAAACTTCACACGCCCTCGTGGATGCTTGGCGATGAATGGCCACCGCGTCCGGGCAATATGAAATCATGTCATGATCAATACTCTCGAAGAGCCTGCACATGCTTGCCGGGGCTGGAAAAGCTGAAGCAAGAATCGCCCGGCAAGCCGCGTGCACCCCACGTCCCGTGATGGCACCAAAGACCACTGCAGACCCGTCCTTCGAGGCGGGGGGGCGGGGAGGGGGGATGGGAGGAGGAGGAGGAGGAGGAGGAGGAGGAGGAGGAGGAGGAGGAGGAGGAGGAGGAGGATGGGAGCAGGGAGAGAAAGGCCATGGCGATGAGGGGGGAGGACACGGAGGAGAGAAGGGCCTGGTACTCCGGCGTCACGATTTGCGCACATCGTTCACCTCCGGAGGTCTGGACCTTCTCCCTGGGGACCAGCTTTTCATCTCGAATCGCTGCTTTATGATTCCAGGGTCTGGCGAGGGCCCCCAGAGTCCAAGACTTGTCAAAACCTCCCGTCCCGATGACTTCGAGACGAGAGGAGCTGGGGGAGCAGGAGGCGGAGGAGCAGGAGGAAGAGGAGGAAGAGGAGGCGGAGGAGGAGGATGAGGAGGAGGAGGAGAGGAGGTGGGGGGAGGAGGAGGCGAGTCGGAGGAGGAGGAGGAGGAGCAAGGAGAGGCGGAGGAGGAAAACGAGAATGAGACCACGCCACTGCGCCGACAGCCTCCCTTTAGGTCGCTGGAGGTATGCGCGCGCACCTCCTTCAAACGGCGGGATTGAGATCTGAGCAGAGAAGCCGAGGTCAGACCAGAGAGAGCCATCGCCAGGACAGTTCAGCGTTCAGCAACGCACTGTGAACTTCGAGTTTAGCATTCAAGAGCTGGGGCAGCCCAGTCGACAAATGCGACCAGCCAAGAATCGGGGTGAGGGTCCAGCTTCGTCGCATGACGACGTGGCTGGGTGCTGAATGCACGGGGTGCCCGGTAGCATTGCTGCCCCAACTTGGCAGCAAGGAGGACGAGGATGAGGATGAGGAGAACATAGTATAGGATGAGGATGAGGATGCGAATGAGGAGGAGGATGAGGATGAGGATGAGGATAGCATAGCAATCAGAAGAATCCGCCAGCCCCCTGGTGGGGCCATCAGGCTGCGAGGGCTAGGCCTGCTGCTCCGTGCGCCAGTTCCAGCTTCCAATTTCCAAGGTTGCAGTCCTGGTTTCTGCCTCCTGCTATAAACTCTTGAAAACCGTGCGAGGGGGGGGGGCCGAACAGGACCCGGTTGCCGTCCCCGAGTCGCGGTGTCTGAATTCCTGTGGGGCCGTGGGACACGTAAAAATACATGAGGTTCGCGCTCCCGACGCAAACATCACTCGCACATTACGCTGTGTTCGCGACCCCGAGGCCACGATCCCGTGCAAATTGCACCACGTTCGCGTCCCCGAAGCCACGATCCCTTGCAAAATACACCGTATTCGCGCCTCCAGGGCCACGATCCTATGTAAATTACGCCAGTTGCGCCCCCGAGGCCATGACACAATATTCGCGTCCCCGTGGCCAGTAACCATTGCACATTTAAAAATTCTTGCATCCCCGAAGCAACAAGCCTTCGTCAATTATACAATATTCGCGTCCCAGAGGCCATGAACCTTTGCAAATTCCGCAATGCTTGAGGCCTCGTACAATACTTCAGTTCTGCGTCTCCGAAGCAACAAACCCAAGTAAATTACACAGTGTTCGCGTTCCCGAAGCCAGAGAATCCGTCGCACATTAAACAATATTCGCGTCCCCGAGGCTACAAACCCTCGCAACTTGCTCTATAGTCGCGTCCCCGAAACCAGAATCCCTCGTACATTGCCCCATGTTCGCGTCCCCGATGCCACAAACCCTGGCAATTGCAAAATTCGTGCGTCCCCGAGGCAACAAACGTTAAAAAACATCATTCGCGTCCACGTGGCCTGGCAAATTACGCCGTATTCGTACTGCCGAGGCCAATTGTGCTCCAAGGCGCCCGAAGATGGTTCCACGACGGCCCAAGAGGGCCCCAAGAGCGCTCGAAGAGGCCTCCCGAGAGAGCCCCAAGAGGCCAACATCGTCGATGTTACAAACATGTTTTTGTGAAGGAGTTTGGGTTCTCGCATTTTCGGTTTTCTGACGCTCCAAGATGGCTCATGAAGCTCCCAAGACCGCCCCAAGACAGCCCAAGACGCCTCCAAGAGGGTCCCAAGACGGCCCGAGAGGTCTCCAAGATAGCCCAAGAAGCGCACCGAGCAGCCCCGAGAAGCCCCCAGGAGGCCCCAAAGAAGCCCCTAGAGGCGCCCAAGACGCGCCAAAGAGGCCTCCAAGAGGCCCAAAAGATACCCCACGAGGCCCCAAGAGGCCCCCAAGAGGCGCCGAAACCGCCTCCAAGAGGCCCCCGAGAGGCGACGCCTCAACACATGTACTAGAGGCCTCAGGCCCACAGCCCAGACACGGTGGGGGGATGGGCCGAAGGCCACTGGGATTACGCCCCCGCATGATGTTCCCAGATGCGCCAAGGCAGCGCCGAGACGCACCGACGCGCCTCTGACCCAGACATGCGACGTCCTGATGTTTTCAGGACGGCGTCCCCGCCAGTCCCCACCCTTCCCCCGGGAGCGGCTTTTCGTCCCGAGTCGTTGTTTGACGGTCCCGAGGCCTGGCGAGGGCCCCCGGGGCCGAAACTAGCCCGAAACCTCCCGTCCTGATTTTTTTTCACGGCGCGATCCTGTCTGGGGAGATATCCCATTCTGATGAAGGAGGGCCGGCGGGCGAAGCCCCTTCGGATAAGAGGAGGCCCCAGGTCCAGAATGCGGGTTGCGGTCGCCGGCCTTCGCCCGCAACGGAGCCGCTCTCTGCCTGCCAGCGCAGGCAGGGCAGGGAGTCAGAGACAGCACTGGGAGCACGACTGCAGCTGCTTACCCTGCTCTTTGAAGCGGCCAGAGGGTCTGCGCTGGATGGACCCCGAGAGACTCGGTTCAGAGGGGTGGGACGAGGGCAACTCCGCTCGAAATCTGTCCCTAGCCCCGTATCGGGGGCGCGCAAACATGGATTAGCGATCCATGGATCTGGCGCGCGGTCACCAAGTCCATGGATCGGGGGCGGTGCCCTCCCCCAAATGCAGCCAGTGCCGCCTCGCTCGGCGGCGAAGTCCGCGATCTCCCATGGAAACGGGACCCGTGGCTAATCCACGCCCCCTTGATCCATGTCTGCGATCGCCTGAGCTTTCCCGCTGAAAACCCAAGGGGCACCCAAGACAACTTGCAAAAGACGGAAGGACCACCGAGCCCCTCCCGTCCTACGAAAGGGCTCCTGCTTCGCCACAAGAGACCCCCAAGAGATCCATATTTGCGATCCCTTGACCTTACCAGGGTCGAAACTGCCCAGCTGTTCGAGCCGCGCCCAGCCGTGGTGACGAAGGGGACCCTTCTCCCCCGCCCCCCCTTTCTGCTGGCCGGACCTGGTGCTGGGCCGCCTCAGCCCCTCAGCTGGCTCTAATCCTCCTCCTCCTTCTCCTCCTCCTCCTCCTCCTCCTCCTCCTCCTCCTACTCCTACTCCTCCTCCTCCTGCCCCTCCTCCTCCTCCTCCTCCTCCTCCTCTTCCTCCTCCTCCTCCTCCTCCTCCTCCTCCTCCTCCTGACCATCTTTCCGAAAGGTAGCCGCTGAGGTCATACGGAAGAGCAAGAGCATCGAACGCTGCAGAGGTGGGCGTCGTCACGGGATTCCGGAGGCTCCGCCACCCGAGACTTGACGAGAACTGGCGGCAGGAGGGGGCCCTGCCAGGGTTTTCGTCGAGGCAGAATGAGCAGATCAACGGATGCGCTGTCCAAGATTGTGGAGGATCCCATCGAGCGAGCATGTTACCGTACAGACTGGCCCAAGAAAGAGCTTTCAGGCCATGGCCTGTAGCCTCGCTCGACCCAGACTGGGCCAGAAAATAGCACCATCACCTGTCACGTACACGCGGACGGCACTCAAAAGCTAAGGACACCTGCAGCGCGGTGCCCTCGCGCGCATAGGAGGACTTGCATTCTGAATCAGCATGTTATCCACACTTGCACATCCTGTTGCGTGAACTCCTGCATCATGTGCCTTGAAACTGTAAGCGGTCGCCGCCGGACTCACAGCACTATTCGTCCCCTTCCGTACCCCCTTCATGCCAACGGTCCGCTTGCCCCGAATATGCGTGCCAGAACTTTCCGAGCGTGATGCCGCCCCTTAACTTGACGGAACACCTCGATGGTGAAGCGTGCGGCTCAAATCGAACGAATTTCATCATCAGCAGGCATTAGGGCGACAAGGAACTTCAAAACATTTGTCTCTGGAGCGCCCCGATGGCGGGGCGCACATCGCGGCGCGCAATAATGGCGGAGCGCACCAACGGCATTTCAAGCATCTGTCCTCGGAACTGCAACAGGAGCATTGGCCCAAGACCAGGGATGGGCCAGAGGTGAGAAGCGCGAGGCGGGGACTCATCCATACTCAACCACCGCCCGTGGGATCGATCTTGAGGGACCTGAGCATGCGGCGGAGATGGATATATCTGCTCCCCCCGGGCCCCGACTGTATCGATACCCACCGCCTGCCGAGGCCCCGAAAAGGGAGATCCCACGGGCGGCGGTCGTGGATGAGGCCCCCGACTCGGGAAGGGGGGCAGGCGTGGGCTCATGACAGCCTGCGAGAGCAGGGCAGAGGCGTATCGTGCAGCGCAGGCGTGCAATAATGGCGGAGCGCACCAACGGCATTTCAAGCATCTGTCCTCGGAACTGCAGCGCAGGCGTGCACCTCCCGGGCCGCGTCACTTGCGCTTCACCACGCCCATCGCCCTCGGCACCTTGGACCGGCCCTTGCCCGAGGACGAGGACCTCTTCGACAGGGCCGACAGCCTCGGGTCCCGGGCCCCCTGCTCCTCGCTGGTCGTCTTCCCCTGGCCGGAGGGCGCGAGCCTGCTCGCGCCCGTGTCGGCCCCGGCCTCGGGCGTGACCGACCCCGCGGTCGACGCCCGGGACAGCTCCAGCTCCCGCGACTGGGACAGCTCCTGCGCAGGAGGGCGCCCGCCCGCCGGCCCCCCCTCGCCGCGAGGGCAGCACGCGAGACGCTTAGGCGCCCGGCCTCGGGTTCCCCGGGTATCCCGCCACGCATCGGCCCCGGCTCGCAGAACGCCACGGAGAGAAGGGGTCCAGAGTTCCGGTCGCGATTTCTCGCGATGGTATTTCCCAGACCTCCTCGAGTCGTGAAAAAATCACGACGGGAGGTTTTTCCCTATTTTCGGCCTCCAGGGGCCCTCACCGGGTCTCGGGAGCGTCAAAAAACGACTCAGGACGAAAAACCGGTCATAGGGAAAGGGTCTGGACCTCTGGGGGGCGCGTCATGAAAAAATCATGACGTCGGGGGTCTGGGTTTGGGAGTCCCGAAACGGTGCGGTGATAGACCGTGCGGTGGCCTCGAAATCCCAGAGACCTCACCGCACGGTCCGTCCAACGCACGGTTTTGGGACTTCGGATGCCCCAAACCGCCCGAGGCGTCCTCGGAGAACGACCCGAGTCCCAAAACCGTGCGGTGACCCTGAATCCCCACCGACTCACCGCACGGTGTGGTCACCACCCCGTTTGGGGGCCCCCGAGATATATTTCGTGGAAGCGTGGGATGTCAGGGAACCCTGGAAGTCCGTTCCTGGGAATGGGGTCGGATATTCTGCTGTTTTGTTGCAGCGGTCCGTCCCTGAGAAGCAGGCCTCTGGGGGTCCACTTTGCGAACAAAATCACAGCGTCGGAGTTATGGGTATACACCACCGCAGTGCCTGTCCCAAGGCCGTCCTGAAGCCTTGCGTGGTCTTTTTTTTCCCCAAACAAATGAAAAGAGCCTCCACGCTGCGCATTCTCAACTGCCATGCGCTTCAAACAGTCGCCAAGCAAACAGGGTGCGACCCACGAGCGGACCTGCGATAAGCAGACTCATGAGACAAACCGTGGCCTGAGAGAGAGAGAGAGAGAGCGAGAGAGAGAGAGAGAGAGAGCGGTCGCGTGAAAAAGCGATGCGTTGTAACCCCTCCCCCCCGGCGCTGGCCGCAGGCCAGAGATACGCAGAACGGTGCGGCCCGCCTGAAAGGGGATGCTGTCTGCACCCGAGTGGGCTGCCGGGCTGCCAGCAACGATGCTCTACACAAAGTGGCCAGCTGGGCACACGTCACCAGTCAAGGTGGCCGCACCTCGGCGGCCGCCGCTCGGTGGCCGAACCAGGGCCGCAAGCAGGTGGCGAGGAACAGGCACCCGCTAACCTGATCCGTCCGCGAGGCCGATGACAAGGCTGTCCGCAGGCGCGCAAGGAGGGAGAGGAGGAGGAGGAGGAGGAGGAGGAGGAGGAGGAGGCGGAGGAGGAGAGGAGGAGGAGGAGGAGGAGGAGAGGGAGGAGGAGAGGAGGAGGAGGAGGAGGAGGAGGAGGAGGAGGAGGAGGAGGAGGAGGAGGAGGAGGAGGGCAGGAGGAGGAGGAGGAGGAGGAGGAGGAGGAGGAGGAGGAGGAGGGGGGGGAAGAGGGGGGGAGGAGGGGGGGGAGGGAGGAGGAGGAGGAGGAGGAGGAGGAGAGGAGGAGGAGGAGGAGGGAGGAGGAGGAGGAGGAGGAGAGGGAGGAAGGAGGAGGAGGAGGAGGGAGGAGGAGGAGGAGGGAGGGAGGAGGAGGGAGGGAGGGAGGGAGGGAGGAGGAGGGAGGGAGGGAGGGAGGGGGAGGGGAGGAGGAGGGGAGGAGGAGGAGGAGAGGAGGAGGAGGGAGGAGGGGAGGGAGGAGGAGGAGGAGGAGGATGTAGGTGGGAGAAGGAGGAGGAGGGAGGAGGGAGGAGGAGGAGGGCGAGGAGGAGGAGGAGGAGGAGGAGGAGGAGGAGGAGGAGGAGGAGAGTGGAGCCAAGCTCGCGAGTGCGCAGACCAGCTCGGGCCTCGCCCGGGGTGCGCGCACGTGGGTCCCACACGAGCGAGGGACAGAGGGGGGAAAGCAGAGGGCCAGCGCGGGGGAAGCGCGAGCGAGCAGGCAAGGACTGAAGGAAGACGTGGATATCCGCACAAATGATAGGGGGCCACATGCGAACCCTGCCCCTACCCCCCACGATTTCTGAGGGGGAGGGTGGGGTTCACTTCGCTCGAAGGCTCCCGAACGAAGTGAGCCCCACCCTCCCGCTCAGAACTCGTGGGGGGTAGGGGTAGGGTTCGCATGTGGCCCCGTAAATGAGAGGCGCAGGGGTCTACTGGGAGGTCTTCGCCGGAAGCCCCACTGGGGGGCTGCTGCGCCGGAGTGGGCCGCGGATTAAGCGGGATTCGGCCGGATTGAACGTGACTGGGCCGCATTATCAGCGGCAGTGCGCCGGATTAAGCGAGACTTCGGACCAGGGCAGAGGCAGAACTTGACCTCCCAGGAGCTGCCTCCGAAGAGGGGGACGGGAGGCCCTGTGAGCAAACCGAGTATCGCTTCACCGATCCCCATCCCCAGCGGCGTGGCCCGGGCCCCGCTGGCCGATTTACCCCGTCTAGATGGGGGCACAGGTCGTGCCCTTCGGGCTTCGAGGGGGGCATTTCCCCAACTGGGGTGGTACTTTGGTGGGGGTCTCGAAAGGGATGGGGATGGGGATGGGGATGGGGATTGGTGAAACGATACTGAAAAACCGCCCCTGACGCCCAGAGGCCGGAGGGCGCCTCCCCCCCAGGTCAGGGGGGGCAGCGCGGGGCCCAACGTGGTGTCTGCGGCGCGCCCGCTCCTGGCCGATGCCAGAGTAAGCCGTCGGAGGGACTATAGCATGGCCCAGGCCATGCACGGAAGTGGTGTGCACACATACGTGTTCACATTCACACGTGCACACGGGTACATACACGTCTACACACATCTATGCATGTATGGATGTATGCATGTCTGTCTGTCTGTATGTATGTACGTATGTATGAATGCATGCATGTCTGTCTGTCTGTCTGTCTGTATGTATGTATGTATGTATGTATGTGTGTTTGTATGTATGTATGTATGTATGTACGTACGTACGTACGTATGCATGCATGCATGCTTTCATGCATGTATGTATGTAGGTATGTATGTAGATATGTAGGTAGGTGTGTGTGTACGTGTGTGTATGTATATGTGTAGGTATGTGTGTATGTATGTATGTATGTATGCATGCATGCATGCATGCATGTATGTATGTATGTATGTATGTATGTATGTACGATGTATGTATGATAATGTATGTATATATATGTATATATGTCTGTATGTATGTATGCATGTATGCATGTATGCATGTATGTATGTGTGTATGTATGTATGTATGGGTGCATGTGCTGTTGTTTATGTACGTACGTACGTACGTATGTATGTGTGTATGTATCTATGTGTGTATGTATGTATTGATGTATGTATATGTGAAAGTGCATGTGTTAAAGTGTGTATGGTGTATGTGTGTATGTGTGTATGTGTGTTTGTATGTATGTATGTATGTATGTATGTATGCATGTATGTATGTATGTATACGTGCATGTACGTATGAATGTACGTATGTATGATTGCACGTATGCGCGAATGTATGTAAAAACATAGACGGCCCTTCGGGTAATTAGGAGATTGAGGGATGGGCGCAGGTGTCATTTTGCGACTGGCGTCCGATCGGGTTCGCACAACATCTTACCTCTCGACCTCGCAAACTACCAATTTGACTAGATACCCGCCGATCTGACTATCTATCTATCAACCGACCTCACTACCTACTAATTGATCTTACGACCTGTCTATCGGCCTCGCTATCCATCAACCAGTCTCATCATGTATCGGTACAGATGCCAACATCCATCCATGTCTCAACCTCTCCACCACTGATCTGACTATACCTCTGCAGTGGCAGGGTGAGTTCCTTCTCACAGCAGCAGTTATATGATTTGCATAACGATTCCAAGAAAACATTTCCCAGTGCCCAATTCCAATTTCGATGTTCGCTGCGATTGCCATTATATCACCACTGGATTTCCATTTCGATTTGCGTCTCGACTGGCAGATCGATTTGCATGTCGGTGCGCCTTTCATGTGCACTTCGATCTGCATCTCGATTGGCATTTCGCCTTGCACTTCAAACAACAATTCGATGTGCATTCCTGTGTATGTGAATTGTATGTCGATGTGCGTTACGGCTTGTAAATGCGCGTTTTACTTTCATTTCGAAATGCAGTTCGATTGCAATTGGATGTGCGTGCAACTTGTCATTTCGATGGCAGTGCTATTCGCTCTTACATATGCACTTCGAATGGACAGGTGGTTATCATTCGGATTTGCGTATCGACTGCAATTCGATGTCACGTTCGATGAGAACCTTTATTTGCATGTTGAGTGCAATTTGATATCATGTTCGATATGCATTTTGGTTCCACTGACTTCACACCTAGATTTGCACACGTCGCACGGGACACCCGACGCGAGGAACAAGGAACAGCCTGAGGGGCAAACCGCGGAACAACCCGCGGCATAACCCGTGGGCCAACCACGGGCCAAACCAGGGACGGGACATCTGAAGAGGTCCACAAACACACAAACCTATACACACAAATAACAACAATCCTCATATTTTCCATATGTTCTGAGTTTTTGTCTTCCCCACCACTTCGCATATTTTCCCATATTTTCCTGGGGATCGACGATTAATTGTGTCTGTGTGTTTCTTCCCCTCCTGAACATCAGTGGGTCAGCCCACGGGACAACCTCGGAACAACCACGGCGAGCATACGAGCGCCTTGTTGCGCGACTTGGCCCTGGCTGCGCCCGTACCTCGTCGCCTTCCTCCTCCTCCTCCTCCTCCTCCTCCTCCTCCTCCCAATTTCGCCTCGCCTGCCAGCGCGACGCGAACCGAAACCAGCCCCCCAGCTGGGGCTCGGAGGCGGCCGGGGGGCTCGGAAGGAAGGGCCCCGAGCAAGTCGATCGAGAAGTCCATCCCCAAAGCACTCCTGGGGCCCATATCTGTTGCAATGCTGCAACCCAGATCCGTGCTTGCAGGGCCCTGGAGCCACAAGAGCGGCCCCCAGATACAGAACACCCCCCCCCCTCCCCCCCCCCCCCCCCCCCCCCCACCCCCCACCCACCCACCCACCCCACCCACCCACCCACCCACCCACACACACACACACACACACACACATTCACACACACACACACACACACACGCAAAAAAAAACAAAATCCAGAACCTCGAACCTCTTGCCCCCCTTCCTGCTCGCCGGCACCAATGCTGGGCCACCCTACGACCCCCAGCCGCTCCAAATCACCTCGCCCTCGCCTACCAACCTCCGACGTGGCTGCCCTCTGCCGATCCTGGGACCGGGACAACTCCTTGTCGGAGGAGGCCTCCGCCACGACGACAGTGATCGACTCCTCCTCGGCCGGGCCCTCCGCCGTGACCTCGGCGTCGCTGGCGGCGGCCTTTTTCTTCCCCGAGCTCGCCTGGCAGCCCATCTGGGGGTGCCAGCCTTGCTCTTCCCCCCGCGGCTGGAACTCCGAAGCCTGTCCGGCGGGCGCCGAAGCGGGGGCAGTGGCGGCCTCTTGGGCCAGAGCGGCCATGGGGCGAGAACGCTACCGCCGGGGCCTTTCCCGGAGTGCGCTCTGGAGGTGGAGGAAAAGGGGGAGGAGGAGGAGCAGGAGCAGGAGGAGGAGGTGGAGGTGGAGGTGGAGGGGGAGGAGGAGGAGGAGGAGGAGGAGGAGGAGGAGGAGGAGGAGGGAGGAGGAGGAGGAGGAGGAGGAGGAGACCCACAGAGTGCGAAGCAAGTCCAAGCTCGATCCTCGAGCCTCGGACCCGTCTCGCCCTCGGAGGCTCTGCGGCCCCGCCTCGCGAGGTGTGAGAGCATGTTCTTATTCGCGGCGGTAGCGAGCGCTATGGGGGGGTCGGTAGGAGGAGGAGGAGCAGGAGGAGGAGGAGGAGGAGGAGGAGGAGGAGGAGGAGGAGGAGGAGGAGGAGGAGGAGGAGAGAGAAGAAAAGAGAGAGGCGGAGAGAAGAGAAGGACAGGGGAGGAGAAAGGAGAAGAGATGAGGAGGGGACGAAGGGGAGCGCGGAGGGGGGAAGGAGGGGGGAGGGGAGGGAGGGGGCAGCATAACGCGCGTCATGGCCCAGGGGTTAACAGGAACAGTCTTTACCTGCTCCTCCTCTGAAGCCCATCGCGGAAAAGCAGCATGCAGCAGCGGGGCAGCGGCGGCCGGGGGGGCAGCGGCGGAACTACGCCAGCGCCGGTCACCCACTGGCGGGGGGCACAGGGCGCGCGGGTGGGCAGAAGAGGGGAAGGGGGAGGAGGAGGCAAAGGGAGGGGTGGAGGGGAGGGAGGAGGGGGGGGGACGCGAGGATGTCCATGCAGCGTGTGCTGCGTCGCTGTTGGCTGTCGGCCGTACACTTTTCAACCAGAAGACCTGAAGTAGTAAGCGGGTGGCTACGGACTTGTTGTTGCTATCTGTCTCGTCGGTCCCATCTGCACCTGCGTAGTATTGGGTCGGGCCTGTCCTCCTACAGGGGGATTTTGGACGAACAATAAAAAACGTTAAAACTGTAATCGAAAGATGCCCCAAAAATACTGAAAAAAATCCCCTGACTATTGTTTGACTATTTTTGAATGTTCCCCCTGTAGAGGGACAGGCCCGACTTCAGCGTAGTAGCCACCGCTCGTATAGCTGCCGTGGCGTCGGTAGGTGTCCGCAGGGCGTCGGAGAATTGGGTGAGGAGGTTCGGGCCCCGCAGCGTTCTGTCAACACATGCTAGAGGGGCCTTCTCTAGGTAGCTGGCCCTGCCAAATTACACGTCGGTCGGAAGAAGTATGTGAAAACATGAAGTAGGAAGGCGGATTAAGTTGATTGGGTCCAGGCCCCCCCCGAGAATAACAAAACACAGCAAAAGCGTGTCGATTCTTGAAGCAGGAAGGCGCTTGAAGTAGATTGGGATCTGGACATCCAAAAATACCTACTTTCAACGACCGGCGTGTAATTCGTCGAGCAGGTATGTATGCGGTGCTCTCCGTCGTAGCCGGAGGCAGGAAGAGGGGGTCATGCGCGGGTACCTCGGAGTCGGTCGTGCTCACAACGAAGTGCTAGTAGCATGCGTGGTATACGTTGGTTTCCTCACCTCTTTTCCCACTCGCGTCGTTGATGCTCCTGTCCCCCCTGCTTCCGCACAGTAATTCCCACTGTCTCTTTCCCGATGTCTCACGGCTAATTCAGATAGCTCTCTGCGTATGCTGCTTTTCGCTGCTAGTTGCTTGAGATGCTGTGGTCGCTCGGGGTCTGTGCTGATGTCGTTTGCCACGCTGTCCCCCCGAGTCCTATTTTTGTTGGGGGGGGGTCTTCTTGGGCCCGCTCGACGAGGGTGCCCTGGCAGGGCTGGACCGGTCTCTGGCGCTGCTGCTGCTGGCCTAGGCTGCGTGCTGCCCCGCCGTCCACGGTTCCTTCTCGCGGGATTTGGCCTGGCTGCTTCTCCACTACCCGCTCCAGCCCAGGGCCTCGGGCAGGGGCCTCGCCCCAGCCCCCCGCCCCTCTGATCATCACTTGTGAATCATACAACAGTTGCGTCTCCGAGGCTCATGTTGCTCCCATCGTACTCAAGGACCAAAAATCCCAGAAATCATCTCGAGCACCCTGAAAAGTGTTGAGAGACGGCCGGACGAGTGTCGACACGGTGTCGAGCGAGCGTCTCCCAGGGCCCGACACATGAGAACCCTCGAGTTTCGACCTTTTTTTTTTCTGGCGCTCGAAATTCTTTCTGATGATCGGGGCTACTGAAGTAGGTTGGAACATCCTAATCCGAGGCCCGAGTCCTGTGCAGACTGCGCAACGTCCGCCGCCCCCAAAGCCATAACAGCTGGTACATGTTACGCCACATGCTCGCGCCCTCGAAGCCACGACCCTTTTGCGAATGTCATCGCGTTCGCGCCCCCCGAGCCACGATCCCTTGTAAGTTACCCCGCGCTCGCGATCTCGAGGCCACGGCTGCTGGCACGTTGCATCAACTCCGCGCCTGCGAACCCAGGATGTTCCGTACATCCTGTCATCCTCGCGCCCCCGAGGCCACGATACAGCGTAATCATCACACTCGCGCCCCCCGAAGTCACAACCTTTCTAGCAGACTGCACGATCCTTGCTCTTCCGAGAACATTCCTGCAGATTACGCCGCATTCGCCTCTCCGAAGCCAGACGCCAGGATCCCTCTGTACGTTCACAGCACGCTCGCGCCCCGAGGCCACGGCACCCCGCACATTGCGCTACATCTTCGCGCCCCCGAGGCCACGAGCCAGTGGAACCTATGCCGTGCTCGCGCCCCCGAGGCTACGATCCCCCTCGACATCTCAATCTGTTCTGCTGTTCGCCAGCCCTCCTCGCACGACCCTCCCGGATGTCTTCAAGACGGCGCCCAGACATCCCAAGAAAGCTCAGAGGAATCCATCAATGACGGAGAGGGGGCCGGCGGCGGGGGGCGAAGCCCTTACGGATAATGTTCTGGCACGGCTGAAAACTGCCGGGGCGCCGCTGACACATTGCCTCGCGGCGCTGACATGCTCTGGCACGGTTGAGGGCTCTCAATCGATGTCTCACATCGGGGCAATTCCCGCAATTGAAAGGCAATTTCTTGTCGGGACCTATGAAGAGGGAACATGGAGGGAGGGTTTATTTTAACATCGTTGATGCGTCTTGGGTTTGCACTGGTCCGCCTCCTCCTCTTCCTCCTTCCTTCCTCATCATTTGTTCCTCTCTACACTAACACCTTTCGAACTCTACTCTCCTCTTATCCCTGACCTGTGCGGAAGATCTCATGCCTTCTCCACGCATTGCTTCTCACAGACAAGATTTCAACCGCTGATTTCTCCTGCGCTTGTACACACATCGAAATATCTTCGGTGTTTCAAAACAAGGCTCCCGCTGCAGCGTGGGCCTCGTTTTCGGATCGGCGTTGTGCTCCTGTCGTTCAGAATGGCGCTCTCGCCCCAGCGCGGACCACTTTTCAGGACCCGAGTTCGTTTTCATCGTTGTCGCTCCCCTCATTTCCCCTCATCCGCCTCCCCCCGGCCCACCTGCTCATCCCAATTCTTCCAATTCCAGTTCCTGCTACTACTGTTTGTCCTCGTCCTCCTCCTCCTCCTCCTCCTCCTCCTCCTCCTCCTCCCCCCCTCCTTCTGTGCGCAGCTCCTGCTTTTTCCCCACATCCTGAGTGGGGTTCTTGTTTTCCCAGAACACCCTCTCCTTCCCACCCACCTCCCGCTCCATCTTCCATACAGCACAATATTATTCCTACCACACACACCATACCATACCATAGTTCCTACCACACATACCATACCATACCATTACCATACCATACCATACGTACCATACCGTACCATACCATACCACACCATACGTACCATACCGTACCATACCATACCATGGCGTACCATAGCATACCATACCATATCACACCTCCAGGGAGGCCCCGCCTGAGCGAGGAGGGTATCCGCAAACCATACTATTTACATGGTTTCGTGCCCCTCCCACCTCTCCAGGGAGGCCCCGCCTGAGCGAGGAGGGTATCCGCAAACCATACTATTTACATGGTTTCGTGCCCCTCCCACCCCTGCAGGGGGAGGCCCCGCCTGAGCGAGGAGGGTATCCGCAAACCATACTATTTACATGGTTTCGTGCCCCTCCACCTCTCCAGGGAGGCCCCGCCTGAGCGAGGAGGGTATCGGAAACCATACTATTTACATGGTTTCGTGCCCCTCCAGGGAGGCCCCGCCTGAGCGAGGAGGGTATCCGAAACCCATACTATTTACATGGTTTCGTGCCCTTCCCACCTCTCCAGGGAGGCCCCGCCTGAGCGAGGAGGGTATCGGAAACCATACTATTTACATGGTTTCGTGCCCCTCCCACCCCTCCAGGGAGGCCCCGTCTGAGCGAGGAGGGTATCGAAAACCATACTATTTACTTGGTTTCGTGCCCCTGAGGCCCGCTGAGGAGGGTATCCGCAAACCATACTATTTACATGGTTTCGTGGTCCCACACCTCCAGGGTGGGCCCACTGAGCGAGGAGGTATCCGCAAACCATACTATTTACATGGTTTCGTGCCCCTCCCACACCTCCAGGGAGGCCCGCCTGAGCGAGGAGGGTATCGGAAAACCATACTATTTACATGGTTTCGTGCCCCTCCCACCCTCCAGGGAGGCCCCGCCTGAGCGAGGAGGGTATCGGAATACCATACTATTTACATGGTTTCGTGCCCCTCCCACCCCTCCAGGGAGGCCCCGCCTGAGCGAGGAGGGTATCGGAATACCATAC